TTCCTTCCTTCCTTCCTTCCTTCCTTCCTTCCTTCCTTCCTTCCTTCCTTCCTACCTTCCTTCCTTCCCTCCCTCCCTTCCAGTGTGGGATCGAACATACCACTACTAGAAGGATTCACAGTCAGCAGACCAACCGCACGTAGCATGTAGTCCTGAATAGAATTATATAATATCTACATGGAGAGAAGCATGCAGTGGTTCTGTCTTGGCCCCAGTGCTCTTCGCCTTCTTTATAAATGATCTAGATGAGGAGATAGAAGAAGAACTCATCAAATTCGCACATGACATCAAACTAGGGGAAATTTCTAACATTTTAGAAGATAGACTCAAGATTCAGAAGGATCTTGACAGACTGAACATTGGGCCTATCTAACAAGATGCAGTTAAGTGGTGAGAAAAATAAGGTCCTATATTTAGGCAGTTAATAACAGTTTTGCTTAGCAACATAAATTTTGGGCTCAATTGTGATCAAAGTTGTATATATACATTCAGCAGAAGTTCAACCATCCCATAACAAAAAAATCCCAATATCCCTGTTAAGATCAAAGCTAATATAGACAGGGGAGTTCTGCTTGCAGCTGCTTTGACTGTTAAAAATAATTTCTAGGTTTTATGTGATTCTTTTATTATTCTTTTATTCAGTATTTTAAGTTTAAATTGGTTATATTGCTCATATATGCCTGTGGATGGATGGGTATGCATGTGTGGGCATGCACTATGTATATGGTTGCATAATTGAAATGCCACACATACATTTTATAAAAACTCATTGAAAATGGGCCAGAGCAACTAATACAAAGGTGGCACCAGCCCTCCATCATGTGTAAACACAATCGGACACACGTACACACCCTGATTTATTTACACACTACATAGAGCCTGGCACTAGTTCATTCACACTGTCTGTTCTTTACCTATAAACAAATGCAGGTCTGGCCACAGAAGTGGGCTGCTTATCCCCAGCGACAGCAAGGGGATCTATCTGCATTTGTCTGCACACAAAGCCATTGTTCTTTGTGTTTGTTTGGTGAGGGCAATAAAATGTCCCATGTCTCAGCAGCTGTAAAACTGACCTAATTCACACCTCTTCCTGGGAGTTCCTTCTGCTTCTCTGTTCTGGGCTGCTTCTCTGTGGCTGCTTTGTTAGGGAGAATCCAGAGGACAGCATTTTTTCCTTATAGGGAATCACCTCGGGCCTGAAACCAGGTGTCAGTGGAAATCCCAAAAGTGTGCTATAAAGTCATGTTTGAGTTTCAAGCTTGGGAGCAGTCACTATAGCTACCGTGGCAGACGGCACCTTGCAAGTTGGTTTCCATACTAGCTTGGTTACTATTTAACATCTCCACCCACATTAGGCCTGATTAAGCGAATCAATAAGATAACAGGCAAGGCAGGTTTCCTCACCCTTCCTCCCTCCCTCCCTTGCCCAGCTTCTTTTCTTGTTATTTTACACTTTCCCATTTTCTTCAGAATTATACTGATGAGAAATGGTCAATGTAAGCACACAGCTAAGTGCTAAGATGGAGGCCCCTCCATATGGTGAGTACAGAGGCTCCTGTCTGCCTATCTTTTCTTGTTTTTGAGGAGAGACGCTCAGAGGTTGAGCAAAGCTGTGTACACTCAGGGCCGACAAATCCTGCTGTTTGTTGTTGATCTATGGAGACCTTATGCGCTAGGCCAACACGTATTTCCTGGCTGTCCGTGGTCTCGGATTCCCTGTAGTTGGCTTCCTCTTAGTCTGTTGGAGAAGCAGCTCTGCTGCCCTTGACTTGAAAAATGAACACGCATTCCTTGAACTGAGTTTATTTTGATTTTGAAGTGAGAATGAATTTGCCAAAAAAAAAAAAAAGTTTAATGAAAAACCAGCAGGAAAGGAGGTTAGGAACCTTAGATCTGAGACGAAAACAAAAGCAGACTTTTCAAATGCAGTATTGAAATTTGTACCTTGCTCTTGTGTGTATGACTGTGTGTAAGAGAAAGAGAGACCATGTCAACCTTCGCACAAAACTTTGCAAAGAGACGTAACAAATGAATGCAGATTTTTCTCAATGAGACTGATTTCTAAATTGATATATATGGAAGGACTGCACTGTGCTGTTCAGGTGGCATAAAGTCATGCTTATATTTCCAGTTATGAGTTCTGAGGTGGGCTGAATGGTTAACCCCATATGTATATGCATAATGCATTTATTTTTTGTTGGTAAAGATGAACAATAACAAGTTTTCTGTCTCAGTTACATACCCATGCACTAATAGGGCCCTTTCCAGTCCTATTTTGCTCATGGATTTCTTGAGAATTAAACACGTGCAGAAAAGATTCTCCCAATACATGTTTTGTTTGCCCATTGTCCTTTGTTTACCACAGTGGCAAGTTATAACCATCTCTTTAATCAACAAAACTAAAAAAAACATGAAAGTTATAACCTACCGGAATAAGGATTTTTGTTATGTTATTCATAATACTTGCATATTGCTTATTTTATATTAATAAATGATATTAGTCACTATGAATCACTATGAATCACAAAATGCTAAGCTTGACTTAAATAATACTATGCTTGTTTATGAGCCTACATTATGTTGGTTACTGGGGAAAAGCATTGTTTGGAAGTGAATCTCAGAAGTTAGTGAGATTTCTGCTGGCCACTAGGACTCTATTCTTGATCTGGTTCACACAACACTTTGCTACAGATAGTGGTCATCTGGATTTTTGTAACCTTAGATCTGTGTGAGCATCTGACATAAAGGCGCACCCTTCTTCAGAGTTCAATATAGCTCAGGTAGGAGGTCTCTACCCAGCACACTTGTTGTTGTAATTTCATTTTGTATTTGTAAAGCAAGCATGTCCAACCTGTGGCCCATGGGCTACATGCAGTTCTAGAAAGCTAGTAATGTGGCCCCATAAGATTGTAAACTTTAACATTATTATGTGGTTTTTAACTATATTTATTTGCATTAATTATATTATATATTTTATATGCGGCCTGATACAATTCCTCTTCACTCAATGAAGCCCAGCAAGCCAAAACATTGGACACCTATAATGTACCATTTTATGTATATAGATAGTGCTATAAACAATATAATATAGGTGGGATGAAGCTGGTTCTCATGGTGAAAGGGAACTTCATAGTTCCATAGCCAAAGGAAGAGTTGCTGAAGGTAGAAGGTGTTGTTATATTTTTTTGTCTGCAAGTCACATCATCAACTGATATGTTATACCTTTGGATTGTTCTTTTTTAATATTATTTAAATATAATTATTTAAATTTTCAACTAAAAAGATAAAAACTAATACAAACAAAAAGAAATAAAAAGAAAAAATGGAGAAAAGAAAGAAAAAATAGAAAAATAGCAAAGAAAAAATAAGAATCTAGCAGAGAAACACATATAAAGAAAAGAGTTCTCCTTTTTTCATAACAAATATAAACAATTTCAGTAACTTATCACTCTCTCTTAAAATACAGTGACTGATCTCTTCTTTCTGTATTCCATCTCTTATCCAGGGGTGGGATGCTACTGGTTCTGCTCGGCTGTGTAGAACTGGTAGCTCTGAAGAGCAGCAAACACCGAACCAGTTCTGTGTTTGCTGCTGTTTGGCCCACTCACCTGCCCGGGCTCTTACCTGTCCTTTATTTCCTGCTTTTTCAACCTCAGCTGCTTTGCGCAAAACATAGTCCCTGAACCAGTAGTAACACCAGTTGAATCCCACCCCTGCTCTTATGTAAAAGTCCTGATCAGCAAAAGTCATTAAGGGTTAACAGAGATTAAATAACATAATTTGTTTTAACATTGATCAAATAAACCAACTTCATATTCCTACTTTTAATAACCTTGATCTTTAATCCCTTCAAATAATGTCTTAGAACTTTATTTCTTTTCATTATTTATTTATCTCTTTGACAAATGTCTTTAAAGCTTTAGCAAGTCTCTTTTGTAAATTCACTATAGGAAAGTGATCCAGGTCACTCTTTTGTTTGTTATTTGTAATATCTCTTTTAATTATTGAGGCATTGGCCAATTTCATGTGTACATCCAGGGTAGCATGTTTTTCATATCTTTCTTTTAGCCTATCATTTTAAAAACTACTTTCTAATCAGTCTCGGTCTTGTGTGGTAAAAGTTGTTCCTCTCCCATAACACCTTTTAAACACTATTTATAGTAACCGACACTTTTAAAGCTAATTTCTACATCCATCATTCATAAAAATCCTTCAATGTAATATTCTGTATTGGTAAGTCAAATTTAATGTTCTTCTCCTTTAACTGAAGTCTTTAGTTCCTTCTGGTTGCCTCTGGTGTCCAATCTTCAAAGTCTCATCCATTCCTTTTTTAAAAAGAGAATTTAAAACTAAAGCCTTTTCTCAAGGGAAGGATTCTCAAAATGAGTTCCAAATTTTAAATCCATCTGGACCCTTTGTCCATTTAACTTTCCATGTAACTTTCCAAAATCAAAGTTCTAATCCTCCTTTGGCTGTTTATACCAATTATATTATATTTATTTTAAATCCTTACATGTGTCCTTAAAACTTCTTTTGTAAGGATTGAAAGAAGCTCATCCAGTACTAAAATCTTGTTGTTCCTAATAGCTAAAACAAACAATTTCTAAAAGTGACTAGAAAAGAATGTATATGCACCCAGTGGCCTTTTTGAAGGTGCTAACCACAATTGGAGCAAAATGATGTGTATTCCTTCATGTTCCAGAGCTCTAAACCTCCACAGACCATTGTGTTGCAGTCTCCTTGCAAGGAGGAACTGAATGGGGCACTGATGGGTAATTTCAAGTCAGTATATTTGCTGGCTCTTCACTCTGTTGTGTTCATTGTCTCTGCTTTTAGCGGAGCCATCTTCAGTTTGCTTCTGCTTCCCTGGAAGTTTTTTTAAAAAAACCCACCTTTGTTCTTGTTAAGATAGAATCTGGAACCTGTTCAACTATAATGTTGCCTTTCTGCACAAAGAAGAGGATACCCTTAGCATGTGTTCATTTCCTGTGGTTTCCTCATATCATTGGCTGTAGTGTATTTTCCTTTAATTTTCCTTTCTGATTGTGAATGAATCATTTTGTGCTTGGAACAACATGCCAGATAACCTGCTACAAAACGGTAAGGCCAGGATAAACATGAAGATTGATTTAAATGTAGTTGAAATTAAATATATGTTCAATATGATTTCTTTCAAAACATTCTTTCAAGAATAATTTTCTTCTACTATCATCTTTAAAGTAGTATATTCTGCCCACCACT